CAGTTGAGTTGCAGTCAAGAGAGAAACATGAATAACAGCGCAACAAGAAGAACAGAAAGAAAATGAAAGAAAAAAATAGAGAAGGAACACTGGAAATAGATGGAAAATCAAGTAAAAAACAAGCAGAGGTAACAGCCCAATTCCAAAGGTATACAGATACAGAGCCAAAAGTGGCTGAAGGCCTTAAGAAGTTCTGGCAAATTGAAGAGAATTTCAGATCCGTCTGCACTGGAATTCAAATAAAAGATAAAAAACTAACTAATTTTCCAACGATAATATGATGGAATCTTCTAATTATGAATGTGTCAAGGGAACCCACAGCTCAGAAGATGTAAAGCTACTTTCAGTTTGTCAATAAATCTAACTGGCACATGTATAACATTCAAGAGTCCAAATGAAACTTATTAATTGTAAGAAGTCACTAAGTCATTTCTAAGCCTCTTGTTCATTTGCATATATGTATGAGTATAACTTTTAAAATTTACTGAAATCAATGATCAAGAACTTAAAAGTCACACTGACCTTACATTAAAAGCTTTCCCCGCAGCCAGGCGCTATGGGTCATCCTATAAATCCCAGCACTTTCGGAGCAGAGGTGGGCAGATCATGAGGTCAGAAGTCTGAGACCAGCCTCACCAATATGGTAAACCCCATCTCTACTAAAAATACAAAAATTAGCCGGGTGTGGTGGTGAGCGCCTGTAATCCCAGGTACTTGGAAGGCTGAGTTAGAAGAATCGCTTGAACCCAGGAGGCAGAGGTTGCAGCAAGCCGAGATCGTACTACTGCACTCCACCCTGGGCGACAGAGCGAGATTCATCTCAAAAAAAAAACCAACCAAACAAACATTAACTTGACTTACGACAACTGGGCTAAACAACAAACCAAACCACATAACTTATGTCACTGCAGTACAATGTTAACATGAGTTAAGAGTGGAAAAGCTAGACTGTGTCCTCACTTTAGCAAGCTTTTCACATTTTTTTTAGATAGAGTCTCGCTCTGCCGCCCAGGCTAGAGTGCGTGCAGTGGCTCAGTATCGGCTCACTGCAACCTCCACCCTCCTGGGTTCAAGCGATTCTTCCACCTCAGCCTCCCAAGTAGCTGGGACTACAGGCACTCACCACCACATCCAGCTAATTTTTGTATTTTGAGTAGACATGGGGTTTCACTATGTTGGCCAGGCTGGTCTTGAAATCCAGACCATGTGATCTGCCCGCGTTGGCCTCCCAAAGTACTGGGATTACAGGTGTTAGCCGCTGCGCCCAGCCAGCAAATTTCTTAAATATGCCTCTGTTTCTTCACCTATGACGTGGCTAATAGCTGTACCTACTTCGGAAACAAGTTGTGATGATTTTGTGAACAAATGTATATAAATCTGTTAGCACAGATTCTGGCACATAGAATGTGCACTCAAATTTTAGTTAATATTATCAACCTTAAGAATTTAGCAGCACTATTACAGAAAAGAATTATAAGATAAAAGCTCAGAAATGAAATCAATTCATCTCCTTTAGGAAACTACAAAGTCTTATTAGTATACTCCAATCATTGATCAACTTCTATTATAAAAAACACTCAATCCATCTATCCATTCAAGATGTGGAAAAGTATTATCAAATGATAACAGCAGAGACTATTTCAGGCAGTCACCAACTCTGAGACAGAAAAGGGACTCTAAAGCAAGAAAAAAGGGCACAAATTCTTTTTCTTTTTTTGAGACAGGGTTTCACTTGGCACCTGGACTGGAGTACAGTGGCACGATCTCACAACCTCCACCTCCCAGTTTCAAGGGTTTCTTCTGCCTCAGCCTCCCAAGTAGCTGGGATTACATACATGTGCCACCACGCCCAAATAATTTTTTTAATTTTTTTAAGTAGAGATGAGGTTTCATTATGTTGGCCAGGCAGGTCTCAAACTCCTGACCTCAAATGATCTGCCCACCTTGGACTCCCAAAGTGATGGGATTACAGGCGTGAGCCACTGCACCTAGCCTAGAAACCACAAATTCTCAAGGCCACAGAACAGAGCCACTCCTGGGATCTCATATGAAACCTATGGCTCACATCCCTGACTGCCCAGAGCCTCACCCAGACTAATCGTAATTAAACCAGGATCTCTAGAACTGAGAACATTTTTGAAAACTCCCTGGGTTTCACATAATGTAAATGTGAACCCAACATTCAGAAGCATTGATTCTACTAAGAATACAAAAAACATTAGATGGCATGAGCTTATAGCATGAGCTTATAATCCCAGCTACTCGGGAGGCTGAGGCAGGAAAATTGCTTGAACACAGAAGGCAGAGGTGGCAGAGAGCCAAGATCATGCCACTGCACTCCAGCCTGGGCAATAGAGCAAGACTCCATCTCAAAAAAAAAAAAAGGAAAAAAGAAAACCATGCCAATTAATAACTCAAAAACGAATTTCTCCGTACTAACAGTATTTCCAAATTAATACTTTTTTTCTTTTATAGAGAGGGCAACTTCTGCCTGGATAGTCTTAACTTAGCTTAGGATACCTGAAGTCCTAAATGCATGACTTAATACTATTTTCAGGATATTATGCACTTCATATAATTGTATAATTCACTAAACCACTATAAGTCTTGAAATAAGACACCTGAAAATACTCCAATATTGGATGTCCTAATCAAGAAAACTAATTTTGTAAATGCCCTCATCCCCTTATGAGTACAGTGAGATTTTCTTGCCTTTTATAATGAACTAAAATTATCTGAGAAATGAAGATATAATAAAAGTAATAAAAATGTAATGACATTAATTTTTAAAAGGAGCAAGGAATGGACTATCACAAACATCTCAAAGTAATATTCACTCTTCCACATTTGAGAAACACCAATTCATCATAAAAACAGAAAGATAACATATAATGTAAATGGCTGTTAGTTAAATGACCTGGTACCCAATAGAGCAGAGAACATTTTTTGTTGTTGTTGTGGCCAATACTCTTTCCAGAGTGCTATGTATTAAACTAAACTAAAATTTTATCTTTCCAAAGTCAACTTTTGAATTTATAACAGTGGAATATTTCAATAGTATAAGTATAAATAATTTAGTGCTCCTAAGCATAAACAAGATCAACTCCAAAGGTAGCAACTAAAAAAAGACTTGTTTCCTTAGATGGGATGCTGAAGGCCTCTTAAGACAAAGAGTTGTGAATCAAACACAAGGACATTTGAGAACATTCAAAAACAGAAGACTGTGCTTTCAATAGCATTTCAAGACAGTTAAGAATACTCAGTACTGTTAGCCTCTGAAAAAGCAAGTCAACTAACAGATGAGAACCTTGCGAAGAGAAAGACTTCTGGTGTATTATTATTTCCAAGTAACAGTGTAGAATAATCAGCTCAACAATAAAAACAGCTTTTGATGAGGTTTAAATAGTAAAAATCAAACTGCACTGAATTACAATTTACACCAGAATTACATATTTCACTACAGAATTCGGCATAAACAAATAAAAATCTTAGGGCTGGGCGCGATGGATCACCTGAGGTCAGTAGTTCAAGGCCAGCCTGAACGACATGGAGAAACCCCATCTCTACTAAAAATACAAAATTAGCCAGCCGTGGTGGCACATGCCTGTAATCCCCGCTACTCAGGAGGCTGAGGCAGGAGAATCACTTAAACCCAGGAGGTGAAGGTTGCGGTGAGATCACGCCACTGCACTCCAGCCTAGGCAACAAGAGTGAAACTCCATCCCAAAAAAAAAAAAAGAATTTTAGAACCAAGTTAAGATTGCCCAGAAGTGGGCCTTACAACATGTTACTGAACGCTCAATAATGCCTTGCAAATGAGTAACAGGAATTCCCACTGTGTTCCTCAATGGACACTTAAAAAGAGACTACATTTTTTTTTGAGACAGAGTCTCACTCCGTCACCAGGCGCCAGGCTAGAGTGTAGTGGTGCAATCTTGGCTCACTGCAACCTCCACCTCCCGGGTTCAAGCAATTCTCCCACCTCAGCCTCCCGAGTAGCTGAGACTACAGGCTCGTGCCACCACACCAGCTAATTTTTTTGTATTTTTAGTAGAGACGGGGTTTCACCATGTTGGCCAGGATGATCTCGATCTCTTGACCTCGTGATCCGCCCGCCTAGGCCTCCCAAAGTGCTGGGATTACAGGCATGAGCCACGGCACCTGGTGAGACTACATTTTTAATATACCTACATAATCGCTTTTAAATTCTCAAAACATCGTCTCATTCTCTGAATGTTTTTTAAATACACGTTCTACTTCTTTACCCTTTTTCATTTTCATTACACAATTGTTTTCTATCAACCATTCTCTACCTTTCTTCCTTAGCTCTATGCCTTGATTTCTTTCCAGATTAGCCACATGCCCATTTATAAACTAAAGCATTATAGGCCAAATGGGACAAGGATTTTCAGCTGAATATAATCAGTAGCATTCTTGACCACACCACTGTAGAAAATGCTTTACAAACTATTTAAGAGATCACTAAAACTCTATTTTTCTCTAAAGTTTTAAATGTTTTCTAACAAAAATGCATTAAAATTCCCATTTTTCTAAAAAACTGTCTTACTTGGGTTATTCTAGAAAGCAGGTCTTTTTTTTTTTTTTTTTTTTTTTAAGACTGAGTCTTGCTCTGTTGCCCAGGCTGGAGTGCAGTGGTGTGATCTTGGCTCACTGCAACCTCCACCTCCTGCATTCAAGTAATTTTGTCTCAGCCTTTCTGGTAGCTGGGACTAGAGGAGCATACCACCACATACAGCTAATTTTTATATTTTTAGTAGAGATGGGGATTCACCACGTTGGCTAGGCTGGTCTTGAACTCCTGATCTCAGGTGAGATCCACCTGCCTCGGCCTCCCAAAGTGCTGGGATTACAGGCATGAGCCACCAGGCCCGGCCCAGATATTTCTTTAAAAAAAAAAAAAAAAGTAAGTTTGTAGGATCACTGCGGAAATCTATGCTTGAATAAATCTAGTAAACCATATTTAGAAAATCAAAACCCACCTCTTTTTGCATAACTGGAGTCCATATCTTTAAACTGTACCACAACAAAGTCTGAACATTTGAACAAAATACTCTCCATTATTTCTTCACGTTTTGGCCCCGAACTGGATTCTGTACTTTTCTCATGTGCAGCATCAAGTACCAAATCACACTAAAATGAAAAACACAAGTAAGTATTCAAAACATTTACAAAATAAAATTTGTTAGAAATTATTTAGCTCATCAAGGTACCAGTTCTTATATGCCTTTGACAAAAATAATCTCAAGAGAACCTGATAATCATACCTTTATTCCCTGACATATGATCTATTTTCCATTCCATCATTTAAAAATCCTCACATCTAAATGTTTTTTGGTGCTATGGTCTGTCTTAAGTACATTAATAATAATTTTTTAAAAGAGGAAAAAATAAACCACCACATCCTCCATTAGTCCCAATGCTTAAAAAATGGTTGACATAGTTTAATAAGCACATACATCAAGAAGTCTTTCTGATTACACAAACCAGTCTATAAAATAATCAGTATTTGAAACTGAGGAGTAAAATCATTCCAAGCGGCTTTAAAAACCAGGTAAAGCACTGACTATGAAAATGTTCTTTCACTATGTAAGAAAAAGAAAAAAAAGTAAAAATTACCTTAGGACTGTATGTTTTGAAAACTCCTTCATATATACCTCCATTTTTCACTTGTACTTCACATTTGGAGCCCTAAAAACATATAATTTATCAAAAAAACAGTATATTACCCAGTCACCAAAGATAATTGTTTTCATTTTACTTTTTATACCTCATCAGGCTTCATTCAATATTAGGTATTTACTAACAAAACGATAAAAAAATTTCAAAACATTAACAATACACTGAACTTTCAAAACTCTTCAGGAGGCTCTACGCAAGAGTTTGCAGTACAAATTTAACACTGAAATCAAACATTTCTGACTCCAGCTACTTTAAGTGACAAAACAACGTACAAAAGACAATCAACTACTATTATTATTTTACACACACAGCAGGGTTAACAAGAATACAGATGTCTGTTGTTATAGGTGGAGTTCCAGGACCTCCTTCAGATACCAACTATACAACACTTAAGTCACTTATGTAAAATATAATAGTATTTGCATATAACTAAGCACATTCTCCTAAATACTTTATCTCTAAATTACTTATAATACCTAATACAATGTAAATGCTATGTAAATAGTTGTCATACTGTATAGTTTTGGGAAGAATGACAAGAAAAACATCTGTACATCTTTGGTTCAGGTGTGATCATACATCTTTTTTCTCAAAAAAAATTTTTTTTTATCTCAGACGGGATCTGGTTCTATTGCCCAGGCTGGAGTACAGTGGCATGATCTTAGCTTGCTGAAACCTCCACCTCCAAGGCTCAAACAATCCTCCCACCTCAGCCTCCCAAGTCGCTGGGACTACAGGCATGCACCACCATGCCCAGCTCGTTTTTCACTTTTTGTAGAGACGGAATTCTGCCATGTTGCCGAGGCTGGTCTCAAACTCGTGAGCTGAAGTGATCTGCCCACCTTAAACTCCCAAAGTGCTAGGATTACAGGCGTGAGTCACTGTGCCTGGCCTTTTTCTCACGTATTTTGATCCCAGGTTGAATCCATAAATATGAAACCCACAGATGCAGAGGGCCAACTGTACTTTTACAATTAGTTATATTAGACTGGATAAAGGGAGTTCTAATCTATTTCTCTAAATCATCCTGACTAAACATGATCTAAGCAATGCTACTTTGAAAATCATTTATCCATATTTTAAACTCATGGACTGACTTTATTCTACCCCCAAGGCAGTTTATCCCCAACAATCTAATAACTTACAACAACTGATGTAAGTATATGAACCATCCTCATATTTGCATAGATTCCATCAAAAGAAATCTGGAATATTAAAAAAAAAAAAAAAAAAAAAAAAAAA